CTTTTTGGAGATCGTAGTTTTGTAAGTTGCATTTTTTTTTTTTTTACTCAACATTGTCTTGGAGTGTCTTCTTATGTCATTAGACAAAAAAAGTTTAAGCAACATTTTTGATGTCTGTATATCTGTATCCAGACCAAATGGGAGTTTCTATGACACCCTCCAAAATGCAGTCCTTGAGCGTTCTGTTAGAAGCAAAATATGGGGCAGTGCTTCTCAAAATCTTATTTCCTATCTGAGTCCTTTTGGGCTGCCGTAATGAAATATCTTAGACTGGGTCATTTATAATTACAACAACGGAAATTTATCTCTCACAATTCTGGGGGCGGGGAAGTCCAAGATCAAGGTGCCAGAAGATTTGATGTCTGGTGAGGGCCCGTTCCTCATAGATGGCAGCTTCTTGCTGCATCCTCACATGCTGGAAAAGCAAAAGGCTCTTTGAAGCACCTTTTGTAAGGGCCTAATCCCATTCTTGAGGGCAGAGACCTCATAACCTAATTATCCCTCAAACGCCCCACCTCTTAATACCATCACATTGGGGATGAAGTTTAAACATGAAACTTAATGTTTGTATCAAGGATACAGATATTTAGAACATGGCATCCTCAAGTCAGTCATCTTTGGAAACTGAGCTAGAGCTGTAGAGACCAAAAAAGCAAAGCCAGGTAGGATAGAGAAGGAAGCCAGGGTTATTAGCTCCATTTTCCAGATGGGAAAACTAAGGCTTTAGCCCCAGGCATGGAGTAGTTTTGATGACTTGGCTGAGGTACTACATGGAGTGTTTTCAGGGTACCTGGGATTTGTTAATCAGATATGGTAAGACACAAAAATATGGAAATGACTATCATGAAAGAAGAGGCTTTGATACTTACAGATCCCTAGAAATAGCAGGCATTCCCTGCAGGACCACAGGGAGAAGCACCTGGGTCAGTAAGGAGGCAGAGGGAGCAAGGGGGAAGTGTGGGCAAGAGCCATCACTGGGATTTCCATGGAAAGGAACTAGTGAGGCAGGGTTTGCAGGTTTAGGATTTGTTGATCTGAGTAACTTCAGTGGGTTCTGGGGTGTGGGATCCCTAGTTGCCTTGGACCTGAGCCTGGGGTGAGTAGGGCAGGAGCTATTCCAGTGTCCAAGAGTATGGGAGCCTGATAAGGGCATGGGCTCTGGATTGGTTTGCAAATGAAAGGTGCACTCACAGATTAGTCCTTTACTATCTCCAGGAATTGGTTAGCCCTAGAAGAGGCAGTCCCTCCAGGGTCAGGAACGCCCTAGGTATCAAAGCATCAGAAGCACATGGTTAATGAGCGGAGCCTGCAGCAGAGATGAGGTGGCTAAGCACATCTCCATGTCCAAGCAGCACTTAGTGTAGGTTTTATCCATTGGATGGCAGGGGAGAGATTTACTAATCACAGCAGAAGGAGGATATCACCAGTACACATAGTGATAAACTTCGAGTTGTTCAGCCCTGACTCAGCCCTGCCATCAACCAGCTTACAGTCGGAGACTGTCTCTGACTCCCTGGGACTCCCTGTGGCATCCTCTGGTGTCACGTGCTCTCTAGTGGCAGGACAAAGAGGACAGAGGGGAATGAGCATTTTTGGGGTACTTCCTGCATGCCAGTGGTTTCCACGAAATGCTCATCAGTGTCTTTTCTCAGCCCTGTCATACATGCACTGCACTGGTTTTGCTGATTTGCTGATGAGAAAATAAAGGCACAGAAAAGTGCCAGGCCTAATGTGGCTGTCTTAGTCCATTCAGGCTGCTGAAGCAGAATACCGTAGACTGGGTGACTTAGCTTATAATCAACAGAAATGTATTGCTCACAGTTCTGGAGGCTGTGAAGCGCTAATCCCATTCGTGAGGGCTCTGTCTGCAGTACCTTCCAAAGGCCCCCCTCCTAATACCATTACCTTGCAGGTTAGGATTGCAACATATGAATTGTGCAGGAGACACAAACATTCAGACCATATAGAAGCTAATGAGGGGTGGAGGGATGTGAACCCAATTCTGAAAGCCTCTCTACCTAAGAGTCACCAAACCTATGGCACAAGGTCATTCTATAGCTTTTCCTCATAATCAATACCTTTAATATTTTGCTAGCCACCCCGAGTGAATAGCAACATGGAATCATGACACTGCCTAGTTGAGTATATGAGTGACGTTGATGATACAGGAGAAAGAGGATCTAAGGAGGAGGTAAGGCAGGAATGGCTTTGTGGAGGAAATGGAGGGGCAGCAGATTGAAGAGCAGATGCTATCCTAGTTCAAACAAATTGTTTTAAAGAGGAGAAAAAAGAGAAGCAGAGAGGGGAAGCATTTTACCCAAAGTCGCACAGCTGGTTTGTAGCCACACCCGAGACGTGTCTGCAAGTCTCCAGCTCCCCAAGAGCTCCAGGATAAGTCTCCATCTAATGATTTTCTGCATCATTTGAATCTGGACTTTTTCTTAGCAGCAACCTAGGACCATGGCTTTACCTGACTCAGTGGATTCCAAAGGGCTTAGCTGACCCTGGCTCAGGTTGCAAACAATGATCTTTGTGATACCAGAGCTCACTGGTGTGTGACTGGAAAATCCGGTGAGTTAGAGCCAAGGTCACGGGCTCGCTTCGCAGCCCTAGGCTGACCCCTTGTTCTTATTTGCAGATAACAGAATCTACATTAGCTGGTTAAAGCAGAAAAGGATTTATTAAGGGCACAGCTAGTTCAGATTCACAGGGAAAGCTGAAGAAATGGCTGAACTCCCAGGAATTCCTCCCCAAACTGCAGTGAAATGGGGCCGCCGTGAAAGCTGCAGCCTCTGATATAATCTTGAAGGTGTTACCACTACTGCGGTTTCCGAGAGCCACGCCACCTCTGCCACATTCTGCACCAGCAAAACCATGCCTTGAGCCTTGCCGTTCTTCTCCTATATCAGGTCTGAATCCGTCTCAGACAAATGCTTCTAACCGGCTGAGCCTAAATTGTATCCAGAACCCTACCTGCAAAGGAGTCTGGGAAATGTCATTTTTAGCTTTCCTGCCTCTGTAGTACAGAAGACGTAGAGATAACCAAGACACAGTCTCCGTGTTTGAGATGCTTGTGGTTTGGAAAGGAGCGCAATTACATGAACACACAATTGTGCTATTATGTGGTGCAAAAGCAATTGCGGTTTTTGCCATTAAAAAAATGGCAAAAACCGCAATTGCTTTTGCACCAACCTAATACAATGTTATTTGCTCTAATTAAGAGACAGTGAGCAGGGAAAGCCCAGGGTCAGGGTCAGAGGAGGCTTCCCAGCAGTGTGGTTACTCAAGCTGCGTACTGAAGAATCCATTTGAGTTTGCCAGATGAGAAAGACAGAAAAGGAGTTGTTAAGACACAAAGGTGTTTGATATTTTGGGGATCTTCAATACCTAGTTCTTATTAACTTGGTCTAAATTCTCTTATGACAGGAGAACAAGGAGCCAATTTATTTTGTAAATAGGGACCAATTTGTTGTGGAAAATATTTTAATATCTTAAAATATTACATAAAATTATTTAAATACATAATTATAGTACTGAAAACTATTAAATCATATTAAAATTAAGGACAAATATTTAAAAACATAACTTTTAAAGTATTACAGTATTATTTTAATGACAAAATGATAATACAAATACAATAATAACAATACCAATATTTTTAAAAGAAGCCAATATATTGGGTACAATGTTTCAGGATTTCTGAAGCAGCACATACATAAGTTTGTCCAGTGTGTAACAGTATGTGGGAAATGACCACTGCTGTGTGTAGCGGTTTCTGGGAAATGCTTGAGTGATGCCTGATTTCCAATCCTTGGCCCTGGGGATCCCCTCTCACCTCTGATTCTGCAGACTGCCTGTCGCAAGTCCACTGATTCCATATGTACAGTGGTTTGGCCCTGCAGGCTTCTGGATTCATGATATTAAGGCTGTCTTGGGATCCAACCTTCCTAGGTCCATCCACCCCAGCTTTTGAACAACCGCCAGGAAGAGAGGAGCCGTGAGGAGAGGGCTCACCTCTCTGCCACAGGAGGCCAGAGGGCCCTTTCCAGGGGACACCAGCCATGCTTATAGCCAAGTGGCAGAAAGGGTAGCCCTGAATCAGCATGCAGGTTCCCATCTTGGTTCTGCCACCTTCCAGCTCTAGGGGTCTGGGCACCGTAGTTAATTCCTAGAGCCTGTTCAGGATGCTTGTGATGATCACTCTCCTCATAGGCCGATTAGAAAGATTAAAAGTGAATGCATTTATCCACATCAAATAGTTGGCCTGGCGCTTAGCGTATGGTAAGGGCTTAGTAAGTTTTGGCTGAAATTGTCATTGATATTCTGCATGAAGCTGGCAGAGGGACCCTGAGGTGGCTATGACATACCTGGAGCCAGCCGGTGCTGGAAGGGGCTTGGTCTCTTCTGCAGGTAGACTTAGACCAAGCCCTGGCCCTGACCTACATGGACAGTATGACCCAGAGCCCTGTCTGGTTAGCCTCAGTATTCTCAGCTGCCAAATTGGGAGAAAGGCACATCGGTCTCAGCTGTGTCACAGTGTGAACACGAGGATCAAGTGGGAAAGGGGCAGGGAAGGGAAGGGCAAGCTGGAGGCCTGAAGGCTCACTGCCAGACTCCCAGTGCTGTGCCTGAATGGCTCTGGTCTCTGCTTTCTCTGATCACAGTACACAGAGCATCCCTCCTCCCCCCTCTCCTTCCCAGCCACAAACTTGGAACCAAACCTGCTTCTGAATTTCCCTGTTTGCTGAAATCAGTTTATGCTTCTGTAAATGCCTACACTCCCAGGGGAGTTGGGTGCTGAGAGTAATTGACCACCCAGCGATTAAGCCAGAGGGCCCCATGGTCTGCCTGAAGCCCCTAATGGGTCATCTGCCAGGGTGGGGCTGGTTTGCTTTATTTATTTCACTGGGACAGGCGCTCTACCCCTGGGACGAGAGCCCCTGCAGGCCCTGGATATCCTGACCTGCTTCTCTGTTTAACCCGTCTCTTTTGGTCCCCAGGTACTTTGAATTTTACGAGGGGCCTTTTGAATATAACTCCACAAGATGCCTGGAGCTGAGGCACGAAATACTGGAAGTGAAGGTTCTGTCCATGTGAGTGTGGCTGTTTGTGGCCGGAGCTGGGTGGTGGGTGCAGGGTGCATGTGGGGGTGGGATGGGAAGGCAAGGGGAGAAGGAAACAGGAAACATGTGGTAGGTTCCTACAGAGTGAAAATTAGGTCTCCTTCCCAGAGCCACTGGCATTTGGAAAGCCCTGGAGGCTGGAACACAGCGATGATTGTGCCTGTTTTATGACAAAAGGCCAAGTTTGCAAGGTCACCCCTGGTGACTTGGGTGTTAAAGTCCCTTCCTCAATTACCGGTCTCTTAGATTATCATCGCTGGCTCCTCTTGTGTAGAAATTGAAGAGGGCACCGGGCCGTCTTACCTGAAATTCAGCACGTTGTACTGCAGGGTTAAGGATTGTCCTCTTGCTGTCACCTTTGACGATTTTAATTTTATGAAAAGTTTTGATTTTAAATTATTTAAATGACACAAAATTTGTGCAGTTCAGATGATTATTCAATGAAGAACCACCAAGTTCTTCCCAGAGGTGACGATGTGTCTTTGCGTGTCCTTGCAGAGAGCGTCAATGCATAAACAAGCATCCGTGTATGGAGATTAAAATTTTTTTTTTTACATAAATGGTAAAAGAGCTATGCTCCCCTGTCTCCACTTAACACTGCATCACCTATGGCTCTTTTCAACCAACAGGAGGGAAAACACATTAAATGCTGAACATTTTAGCATACATGTGCCCACCTGGGTTTTCCACTCTTCGCAGAACTGCCATGAATTCAGCAAACTAATATAGAGGAATTTGTACTATATTAGTCATGTCAGAATCTATATTTATTTGGAAATAGTTATGTCTAGATGTGGAAAATATAGTTTATTCAGAGGCAGGCAATGTTGGGTGTTCAGATGGACTCATGGGCCCCCTGACATAACCCCAGGGGCATCTGCGCCTGGCCTGCAGGCAGGGACCATCATTCCTTTACCCATCTGACGTGAGTCCAGCTAGTGTGCCTCAGGGGAAGGGCATGGGCCTTGGGGTGGGCAGATCCGAGAGCCAAAGCTGACTCTGGGCCTTAGCAGATCTGAATCTTTCTGCAAATAACTTAACGTCTCTAAGCCTTTCCTTACTTATGAAAATGAGGACATTGTTACTTATCCTTTAAGGGTTGCTGTAGACTAGCAGAAATAAGGCATGTTGAAAGTAGACAGCCCGGCAGCCTGCATGCTCAGTAGCGCACATCATAGGTGTTCAATAAGTATCAGCACCCATCCTTCTCTTTCCTTCCTTCCTTTCCTTTTTGGGACTAGCAGCAGCAGCTTTTCTGGGCTGTCATGCACAGACTCCATAGCTTAGCGGTTCCTGGAAAGCTCCGAGAGACCAGCATGCAGCTGGGATTAGCTGTTCTGTTTATGGCCCCTGTAGTACCCCATGGTCTTTGTACCCTCACTAGAGACCGTGGGAGACAGACACCGCCCATCAGTTTCACTGAGCCCTGGGCTGAGCACGTACCACTGTGGTGCCCGCCCTTGTGGAGCTCACAGCCATGGGGGAGTGGGGGGACAGACATGAATAACTAGCTACCCTAAGGAGTCGGGGTGGGGGTGACAGGGAACTTGACCCAGGCTGGGGCTGGGAGGAGGTTGCAGGCAATGCTTCCCTGAGACAGGGACACTGGAGCTCCAGTCTGAAGGGTGACAGGAGTTAACTAGGCCAGGAGGACTCCAGGTGGAGGGAACAGTTTGTACAAAGGCCCTGTGCCAGGAGGGAGCCGGCTGTGTCCTGGGCGTTGAAGGATCGGGGCAGCTTGAATGCTGGCACGAGGGGAAGAGACGGAAGCTGCATTGCTAGAGCGTCAGGTAGGGCCAGATGGTGTGGGGCCTCATGGTACAGACCCAGGTTTGGGTTTTACCTTTATCCAAGGGCCAGGGGAGCCATGGGAAAGGTATTAAGCAGGGCCTTGGGGTGTGTGAGCTGGTTGGTATTTTAAACATGCCGCCAAGGAGTTTTGATTTAGTGGCAGAGATGGCTGTGGGAGCCAAGTTCCTAAGCTGGTGGCTGAGAATCTGTCTTCTCAGAATTCAAAGCTTTCAGGCCCTTTGATGTTTTACTGTGCAAATCCAGAGCACTGTGTTGAGAGCAAACCTTTGAGATTTCAGAGGGTAAATGACTAATTTCTTTAAATTATATAATGTATAGCTTTTTCATGGTTGCTTCAAGGCCTGGACAGGAAGATTTGATAAATCCTATGAATGGGTCATCCTTCTAGGGAGCTTCCCATCCCTCTACGCATGTATTTTCTGTCTGTTGGTGTTAGGCTCTGTATCAGTGTGCGGCAACAAGGTACACACAACTTACCTCTTCCATGGTTCTGGAGGCCAGGGGTCTGAGATGGAGACACTGCAGGGTTGGCTTCTTCTGAGCCTCTCTCCAGGGGTCTGAGATGGAGACACCGCAGACTCAGCTTCTTCTGAGCCTCTCTCCTTGGTTTGCCAATGGCTTTCTCACTATGTCCCCATATGGTTGCCCTGGTCTGTGTCTTGCCTGTGCCGTAATCTCTCTTTGTAAGGACATCAGTCATATTGGATCTGGACTTACTCTAATGGCCTCATTTTAACTTCATTGCCTCTTTAAAGGCCCTAGCCCCACGGTGGCTCATACTGGTAATCCCATCACTTTGGGAGGCTGAGGTGGGTGGATCACCTGAGGTCAGGAGTTTGAGACCAGCCTGGACAACATGGTGAAACCCTGTCTCTACTAAAAATACAAAAATTAGCCGGGAATGGTGGCGCCACCTGTAATCCCAGCTACTCGGGAGGCTGAGGCAGGAGAATCGCTTGAACCTGGGAGGTGGAGGTTGCAGTGAGCTGAGATCACGCCATGGCACTCCGGCCTGGGTGACAAAGCGAGACTCCATCTCAAAAAAAAATAAGACCTTATCTCCAAATATGGTTCTATTAACAAACACTGTGCAGTGTGATGGACAACCTCATATGTCCCCATCGTCTGACTGAACTAGCCCATGGTCTCTGCACTCTCTAGAGAGAAACACGAGAGATAATCACCTTCTGTGGGCTCCACTTGCCACCCCTTGTCCCTGTCATGGACTCCCATGGGTGGCATTTGGGCCTCTCCAGATTTGGCTTTGGTTCCCATCTCTGCCTCAGGGCACCCTCTCCGTCCCCAAGGGCTGGGCTTCCGTGGGGAAGAGCCATCCTAGCCGGGGTCCCTGGCTGAGCTGGGCTTTGCATGCCCTGCCTCTTCCACAGCAGTTGCCTCTCTGTGGCCCCAAGCCCTGGGAGTCTGAGAGAGAAGGACAGGCTGGACTTTTCATGGGGCATGAGTGTGTGTGCCTCCTTTCCTGAGTCCCCAGGCGGAGGGTCAGCAGGTCCTCCAGGGCTGAAATTGGAGAGCAACAGAGGCCGGCCTCTGAACCTGCAGGCTTCACTGTGCTCCAGCCCAGTGCCATGAGGAGGCCTCACAGAGGGTACGGTACGACCCTGAGTCCTTGGGAGAAGGTTAAAGCCCGTCCGCGAATGGAGGGGCTGATGGATGCGCACTGTCCCTTCAGGCCCACAGAATGTCAGCTGGTGTTTTGTTTGAGGAGACAGGGAAGTGTATGATTCATCTGGGAACGATTCTGATCCACAATTGCTGAAATCAGTGGTAAAACCAGTCAGCCAGAAAATCCCCACATGGAAAATGCCTCACTCCCTGACAGTGTCAGATACATGAAGAACGACTCCATGATGATTGGTTATGAAAATGCATTGTCAGTAATTCTTGTTAAAATTACTTACACCTATCCCCTAGAGCCCCTTTATTTTAAAATAAGAATCTTCAGTTGCTGCCTGTGCTCACACCCAGACGGGGGTCGTGCTTGAGAATTCCCGAGACCTGCCTCTCCCGCCACCCTTCCCCATTTTTCTGCCAGTGGGAGCTCTGTGCTGAGCCCAGTACTGAGACCAAGAAAGAAGCTGGGAGCCAAGGCCAGCTGGGCAAATGCCCACTCTCTGGACTGGGAGCCCTTTTTGTGCCACTGCAGTGTTCACAAGTCTGTGTCCTTTGCCAGGTGGGGTTTCCTGGAGGGCCAGGCTTAGACATCTCTGAGTCTGGCCCTGAGCCAGCTCACTACTCATGTGTTAAGTCAATGAGTGGATGGAGGGAGTCGGTGAGACCTGCGTGCAAATAGGACGCCATGGAAGAAAAGAGGGAGCAAGAAGAGTAAGGAGAGAATCACTCTCATTTCATTACAATTAGTGCCCAGCTCCCTGCCACATTTCCCCGGTTGAGGGGTATTACTATTTTTAGTCCTGTCTATAGATTACCTAAGTAATCTATTTCTTGTTCTACCAAATATCAACAGTATCTCTTGATCCTCCACTGTGTAAGATAGGCATATTAAAATTACTCCTACTCTGCAGTTCCCCCTCCAGCCTATGGCTTCAGTCATCCATGGGTTGACTTGTAAAGTGTCAAGGCTGATAACATTTGCATTCTACTTGTAACCATACCAAACCGCTTCTGAGGCTTTTTCTAGAGGTTGACTCTAAAATTTGAAGAACAGCAAATAGTGTTTTGCATTACTGGGTTGATGTAGATATTGGTCACTGAAGGCCAGGGAGGCACCAGCTTTCCATTAACTTTCTTGTACATGTTATTTTCTTTTTACGGAGCCTCTAGCCATCTTTCTCCCCTCATTTCCTCTATTATAGCTCTGTCTTTCCCCTGCCTCTCCATCCATCAGGCATTCTCTTTAGGGTTTCTCTTCATCGTCTTGCTCCAGCCTGGCTGCCTTCTTGCTGGGTCATGTGGCTGCTGTTCTGGGGCTTTTCCTTCTCTGCCTTCTTAGGTTGGATTCACCTTTGCTTATAACCTATAGTTCTTTTCTTTCATGTTTATTCTTTCCTTTTACTTCCACCCATTCTCAAGTAAATACCAAGAAATGATGGGTGGGAGGTAAGGTTTTGAGTTCTTTTGTGTCTAAATGACTGGATTCTTTCCTTTTACTTGATGGTTGGTGTGGTGGGTTGTTGAAT